CTAAGAAGGGAGGGGTGTGTACCTAGTTCTGAAAAAGTTGGCGTCCAGAGAAACTCTGAGTGTTCCTGTGTCAGTAGATGTCGACACCCCGAAGATTTGAACACTCACGGTCTCCCCGACGGTGCTACGATTTTTCGTCTTTAGCAGCTAGCAAACGACTTAAAGAGTCGCTACCAAGCCTCGAGGCTCCTTTGGAGCTATCTTCCGATTCCCAAGCTGAACAGATCCCTAAAAAATCCCGAACAGTCGATTGCAACACCGAGTTGAAATTCGAGCCGAAAGCCGAACACCGAGCTGAAAGCCGAACTCTAACTACTCACTTACCTCGTGTCTTACCTGGTATGGATTGCTGAAAGATGACTGCGTCTCCTCCACGAATGCGGTGTTAAGGGAGCTTTTCACTACGACACAAGCTCAATTCCAAGCTGGCATACAGAAAGGTCATTACCCGTTCAAATAAAAAATGGCTTCTGTTACTCAGAAGGAAATTTGCGAAAAAGTTCTCCGCCTGCATTCACGCATGTAAGCTAAGACTTGAGCTTAGTCACAGTAAAATTCAGCCTTAGTGGACGTCTTTCTGCCGTGAAGGTCCCCTCAGACATGGTCAGAGGGTCTGGATGAGACAAATGCGGAGGAATTAATTTGACTTCAAATTCAAACGTGACTTATGCCAAATGATATTAATTAGAGTTGCACAAAGTGGCCGAATTGGTCGAGTCGATAAACTGTCCGCGTGGTGTACTCAGTCCAAACCCTCTGATTAAAAGATAGAGGATGGGAGAGGGGGTGTAAATCTTTATTCAATTTTTATGGGAGAAGGGGTGATATACCTACCTACATACGTACTTAGCTTTCAAAAATCGTTGTCCTAGCAAGCATCAGGACGTTGATGTTTGAAATAGCTATTTCGATTTATTTTACACTACATGCTATCTTTTCTGACTATTCTTCTTCCTCGTAAGGCGATTTCCATCTTTCATCGTGCATTGTGCACTGTACATCATGCGCAAAAGGCTTCGGACACACGTGCTGGCCTTTAAGACTCCTCTAAAAACGTTCGGCGTAAGAATGTTGCGAAAGTATTCTCAATTACAGTAAAGACTTAAAAAATGCCAAAAGTTACTGTGACGAATCCGCGCCACAAAGGTGGGTGCCCCCTAACACAAACAAAACACAGAACATAAACGAGTCCGAGAACACACGCCACAATATAACTAAACGTAGGCCTAGAGATATTTATTATGCTAATAAAACAATAAAGCGACTAACAATAACGATAATACAATGATCTAATTAATTTACAGGAATACGCTAACTTAAACTACAGTACACTAAAACTATTTACAAGATTATTACTATTAAGATAAAGAAAAGGTTTTTTTTTTTT